TATGAATGATTCATGTAATATATATATATATATATATATATATATATATATATATATATATACACACAGAGTTGTTCACAGAATTATTGACTCTCACTGAATATTTGCATATTTTCTAGGGAAATTCGAATATTTGCGAGTATTTATTGAATTTACCATGAATAGTTAGGTATTTAATTTGGAATAATTCATTTTTTTTAAAGTTTTGATCTATTATTTTCATAGATATAGACTTTTCTAAAAATCGGTGCAGTCCCAAAATATTCGCCCCGCCACTCTTATGGAAATTACGAAACGATATTGCCCTATGACAATTGTAATGATTTCTTAAAAAAATTGACATTTAATACAAACACCCTTTGAAAAGGAAATAGTTTTGACCTGATTCTATAACATTGAAAAAGTTAATGAAGAAGACAATATGTGACTTCCATCATGTCAAAGACGGCTGACTTGAGAAGAAGCTCCGAATGAAGATAGTTGATGCGTACAAAAACTTTACAAACATTTATATGTTCTTAGATCGACAAGTCGTAGGATTATCACGAAGTACAACGAGACTCATTGTGTTGAGAATGAATTAAAAACTGGTAGTGTTGACTTCAATGTCCACTTTGATATTTACATTCGCTTTGTTGCTGATATTGAGCACTTTAGTCCATAAACAAACATAAATTAAAACTATATTTTTTATCATATATACAGTTGTGGAGATAATTATTCTCCTGCGAATATTTGCAAGCACATACTGAATCAACCATAAATAGTTGATTCCTTATTTATTTTTGAATAATTCGTGAAGTTTTTAGAAGTTTCAATCTATTATATTTATAGTTATAGATTTTTCTAAAAATTGGTTCCGTCCAAAGTTATTCTCTCTCTTGTGGAGATTATGAAATAATATTGCTCTATGTCAATTGTAAGGTTTTAATCTTCCTTAACTTGACATTTAATACAAAGACGCCTTGAAAATGAAATAGTATTTCTGATTCTATAATATTCTAAAATATAATGAAGAATACATTATGTGAATGTTATGTACCACGATAGCTTATTCGTTCTCCAACCATGGGAAAGACAGCTGGACTTGGCAAGAAGCTCCGAATGAAAATAGTTGATGCGTTCAAAGAAGGTGATGGATATTACAACACCTTCAAGGCGTTTAAATCTTCCTAGATCGACAATTTGTAGCATTATCAAGAAGTACAACGAGACTCATTGTGTTGAGAATGAATTAAAGACTGGTAGAAAACGGTTAATTTCTGAGAGAATGGAAAGGGAAGTTGTTAGAGATGTCTCAAAGAATCCTCACTTAATGAAAAAGAACATCGTCAATGATGTAAAGACATCAAGGTTGAATTTAAACAGTCAGTAGATGCTTTCCTTGAGCAGGACTTCGAGCCTGTCGCCTAAGGAAAACTCCCTTGCTTAATGCTATATGCCTAAAATGCAGATTCGCTTATTCTAGAAGCCATCTAGAATATGGGAGTGAATATCGAAACACTGTTTTATGGCCAGTTGAAACCAAACTAGAATTATTTCGTCACATGAACTCCCATTATGTATAGAGGAAAGTGAATAAAACCCACGAAAAAAAATAACCTCCCTGCAATTAAGCACGGTGGTGGGGGCATTCTGCTCTGGGGATGTTTTGCTGTTTCTGGGACGGGAGAACAAGTGAGGATACAGGGTATCAAAGATAAAGAGCAATATTTGACTATTCTTAAAAATAATATAAAACAAAGTTAAAAAAAATGTATTTGAGGCGTCACAAATATATATATATATATATATATATATAAATGACAATTCTATTTATGGGTAAGTTGACGCCATTTTATATTTTAATTTCGCGCATGCGCATTGTTTGTTTTTGATTTTGTCGACTGAACAGTATAGTACGATCAGTTGGGCACCGTCTATGAGAAAAAGAGCGCCATGACAAAATTCACTCCTCCCGAAATTTTGAAACGACATGCTGTATTGCGTAAGGAAAATGATGATTAAAAAGAAGAAAGCGTAAACGACAAGGAAGAAGAAGAAGAAGAAGAAGAAGAAAGAAAGATATTTATAGGATGAGAGAGAAGTTCAGGAAAAAAGGTTTCGTTAAAATGAGGATCTAAAGAAGGCTGATGTCAAAGATAAAGTAAAGTTCATAGTGAAAAGGGGGAAAAAAGAAAAACAGGAATCTGGAAATTAAATTCCATCACACGAATTCCTCTGCAATTCACCTGTTTCATGGATGTGATAATTTTTGTGCCGGGGTTGGATCCAAAGTAAACGCAACCAACTTCAAAGCGGACTCTCATCTCTACGAAGATAGATAGATAGATAGATAGATAGATAGATAGATAGATAGATACGACTTTAATGCGTTCGTAGACGTTTTATCCTTGTGGCCTGAAATTAGACGAAATTAATTCAAATAGCCTATGGTTAACTAGAACTTCTTACAAGTGTTCGAACTTAGGAAAAAGTCAATTTAAAAGGGTACTAATTTTTTAGGCATCAACCCTTTTCTTGGGATATTGGTGCAATGTCAGTATTTATTTATTTATTTTCCTACTTAGATTTGGATGGTTGCATTTTATTTATGGTTTAATTTTTACCTTGATGTGAATTTAGTAATAGTCCTTCTTTACAATTTGAAAGAAACATCATCTGGTTCAATCCACCATACAACCAAAATGCAAAAACAAACGTAAGAAAAATACTCATTAAACTCACACGCAAACGCTTCCCTCTGTCAAGCACCCTCTACAAGATCTTCAACAAAAAGACAGCTAAAAATCAGCTACAGATGCATAGAAAACATGAGACAAATAATAAAAGAGCATAACCGAAATGCACCCAACGAATCACTTGCACAAATAAAACCTACATGTAAATGCAGAATAAAGAAAGAATGTCCCTTAAACGGCAATTGCTTGCAAAACAATGTAACATACCAAGCCACTCTCAGCAGATAACGAAGAAAACATAAATAGAATAAACTGAAAAGAGAGAAAGTATGGACACAAAACATCCTGTATGAATCGTAAATACGCGAACAGCACAATGCTTTCTACACATGGGAATTTGAAAACAAAACCAAATCATACCAAAAATATCATGAAAAATAGGGAAAACCGCTTCAGCGTACAACAATTAATGCAAAAATTGTAAACTGTATCTGGAGGAGTAAATAGCCATAATTATCTTCCGAAATTAACAAAATTTTCCTCTTTTTTCAAGCTGAGCATTTGATTTCTTTCTACAGTTAATTCTTCAAATCATAAACATTCTTGCCAATAGTTAAGCAACGTGTGAATTTGATTCTACGCCCCTGATTGGTTCAGGACTTGAACTTTTAATGTTGATAAATTTTTGATAAAAAAACTCAGTTCTTGCAAATCAAAGCAAAGAAAATTTGATATATTAAATTGGCTCAAATGAGGGAACAAATAAGCATGTTTTTTTTTTAAATTAAATATCAACCTCTACAAGGGTCTAAAGCCACTGAAGGTTGCTGTTTCTGAGGTGAATAGTCTTCGTTAAATGCAAAATAGGTAACATAACTGTCCGATAATCAGAATCGACAAAGTTTGCAATAAGCAATAACAAGAAAAAGAAAGGAAACGGCAAAAGATAATATAAAGCAAACAAACAATCTACACAAGGCAAATTAACAGTAAGTAGGCAAAGCAGCATTAATATGGGGAAAAAATCACAAACTAAGAAGCCAAGCGAACATAGCGTTCTGAGTTTAAAACAAGACAGACCGGGACTGAGTCATACAAAACCAAGAACCGGCCTATTTTATTGGCTAAGAAAAAATCCCAGCAATGTGTGCTTCTGCCTACAAATTGGTGGGGGAAGTATTTTTAAAATCATTCCCATGAGGTTAGACACCAACACTGTTAAAATATCTATAATAATTGGGATGTGTTATTATTTTCCACAGTCTTTCTAGGGATTAAAGAAAGAAAAAACACCTTGTTGTAGGGTTGACGTGCCACATTTTGTATCAACTACCGAAGGAAGTAGCATGACGTCCAATCCTACTGTATGGATCAGAACCTTGGACATTATCTGTTGGTCTTGAAAGACGACTAGATGGAAATCTACTTAGAAAAATCCAGAACATCTGTTTGAGATCCTATAAAACGCTTAACATAATTTAAGGAGAACTGAGACCAAAATCTCTCTCTTAAACTCAAACAAAAACAATCACATTTTACCGGCCATTGCCACCGAGCGAACAGGGAAATCATCTCATCCTTACTCCTATGGCAACATTCTGGAAGTGTCTTCTCACGAAAATTGACTTTATCAGACACTTCCAGCTTGGGAATCAGGGTTGGACATTAGAGATCTGGGGACAGCAATGCAGAACCGAACAGCGTGGAAAAGGATTGTTAATAAAGTTCCGACCAACCATAGGATGGTTGAAAGATGATTATGATTTTCCACAAAAAATAGTAGTTCTTGGGGAAAAAAAAAAAAGCTTTCCAAGTTGAACTTTCTACTTACCTTTGGAATACGGTAAAAATATGGCGCATTCGAGATCGCAAAACCAGCATGCCGTACCCTAGTCTGAACTGGTGGAATCAAAGCTCATTTGAACATCTGTCACGGAAATAACGATGGAGTAGCATTAGGTATACGGGGTTACGTCTGTGGCAAAGAGGCTGAAAAGTAGAGAATAAGTCTCGCCACATAAGACCGTGTAAACGAGTTTGTACTTTATCGAAGCTGAAAAGTGAACATCTCCAGCCCAGATATAACGACAGTACTCAATTTGGGGCCAACTCTGAAATGAGGGGACTTAAGCCTACCGGGCGTACATATTTGCGATCACAACTGTATCAGGATCTGTTTGTGCGTATTCGCGAAAATTCTCTGAGCGTCTGCCATATTTGGAACTTGTTGACCTGGGTGTCAAAAAAAGGTAGGGCACGCGGTGCACATATATACAATCTAGGATCTAAAAGATTCGAATTTCAGATGTTAATGTAATAATGATTGAAAATCTGCTTGGCCTCGGGCAGGCCTTACGGGTTTTTAATGAAATATGATTTCCGATATTAGGCGGGTTCTTGGACCATTATGGCCTCTTCAGAAGGATAGCAAACTCTTCCTACGCCAAGAAAAAAGAAAAAAAAAGAAAAGAAAAAGTCATATACTGAATTTGATTTTCGTCCATTTAGCATTCTGACATTCGTTCATTTTCTTTGCTTTTCATTCTTTTTCATTTCTTTATTTTTCGTTGCCGTTAGATATTTATTTTTCAAAGATATGTCGTTATAACGCTTTCTTTCTTCTTCTAATTTAAAATATTGACTGATTAATTGATTTTTTCTTTCTTTATTTCTTTCTTTCTTTTTCTCTAAAATAAAATCTTAATTCAATTATGCGAAGGTTCTTTCTTTCTTTCTTTCAACACTGAAAATTAAATCTGTTAATTTGAAGTTTTTCCTTACTCTCGTTTTCATTTTTTCTTGCTATATTTTTTTTTCTTTCATTCGGTCATTTCGTCAACCACAAAATCTAAATCTGTAAACTTGAAGGTTTTCTTACTCTCTTTTCCTATCTTTCTTAATTCCTTATTTTCTTTTTTTGATAGTGCCTGTCTGCCTTTCTTTCTTTCTTTCTTTCTTTCTTTCTTTCTTTCTTTCTTTCTTTTCCTCAACAGAAAAAAAACTAAATCTGTAAACGTGAAGGTTTTTCTTTCTTTCTTTCTTTCTTTCTTTCTTTCTTTCTTTCTTTCTTTCTTTTCCTCAACAGGAAAAATCTGTAAACGTGAAGGTTTTTTCTTTCTTTCTTTCTTTCTTTCTTTCTTTCTTTCTTTTCCTCAACAGAAAAAATCTGTAAACGTGAAGGTTTTTTCTTTCTTTCTTTCTTTCTTTCTTTCTTTCTTTCTTTCTTTCTTTTCCTCAACAGAAAAAAAACTAAATCTGTAAACGTGAAGGTCTTTCTTTCTTTCATTCTTTCTTTCTTTCTTTCTTTCTTTTCTTTCTTTTTTCCTCAACAGAAAAAATCTGTAAAAATTGAAGGTTTTTTTTTCTTTCTTTCTTTTCTTTCTTTCTTTCTTTCTTTTTTTTTTTCTTTCTTTTCCTCAACAGAATAAAACTAAATCTGTAAACGTGAAGGTCTTTCTTTCTTTCTTTCTTTCTTTCTTTCTTTTCCTCAACAGAAAAAATCTGTAAACGTGAAGGTTTTTTCTTTCTTTCTTTCTTTCTTTCTTTCTTTCTTTCTTTTTTTCTTTCTTTCTTTTCCTCAACAGAATAAAACTAAATCTGTAAACGTGAAGGTCTTTTTTCTTTCTTTCTTTCTTTCTTTCTTTCTTTTTTTTCCTCAACAGAAAAAATCTGTAAACGTGAAGGTTTTTTCTTTCTTTCTTGGATCTTTTCTTTCTTTCTTTCTTTCTTTCTTTCTTTCTTTCTTTCTTTTCCTCAACAGAATAAAACTAAATCTGTAAACGTGAAGGTCTTTCTTTCTTTCTTTCTTTTCCTCAACAGAAAAAATCTGTAAACGTGAAGGTTTTTTCTTTCTTTCTTTCTTTCTTTCTTTCTTTCTTTCTTTCTTTCTTTCTTTTCCTCAACAGAAAAAAACTAAATCTCTAAACGTGAAGGTCTTTCTTTCTTTCTTTCTTTCTTTCTTTCTTTCTTTTTCTTTCTTTTCCTCAACAAAAAAAAAACAAACTAAATCTGTAAACGTGAAGGTTTTTCTTTTCTTCTTTCCTTCCTTCTTTCTTTCTTTCTTTCTTTCTTAA